GAAGCGCAGTTCATTTCCTAATCCATCGGCCACCTTGTAAAGGAAAATTCCCTGTTGCACACAGAATGGACCTGCTGGACATGTTCTAACAGGATTTACCTTTCTTTCTGGTTTTTCGTGTGAATAATGACTGAATTTTTGATGATCTCGCTTCCCCTTTTGATATTTTTATTTACTCATTTCTGTTTATGATTTCCTGGGCCTCTACATTTTTCTTGAGGTACCAGTTCCAATTTACAATTGAAATTGTGAGCTCAATCTGAGAATGAATTTTCCTCCACACGCATTGAAAAGGAAAAGAAACAATTTCCATGGATAGTAAGAGCACGAGTAGAAAGCACCAATTATGCAAGCTCATGAGCTAAAGAATATACCATATTAACGTAATGCAAATGAAACATGTCCCAGTAAATGGTTTATATAAACCTACTAAATAAAAGAGTTCTGTAATATAAAATACTGTCACATGATACAACTGGAACATTTATGACGCTTAAATAAAATATTGACTCAAGTAATGCTTTTGCAATTTACAAGCACCTAATACTTGACTACTATATGTCCAAATGTGGTAAGAACAAACATGGCTGATGATCAGAACACAAAGAGAGAGAAAGAAAGAGAGAGAGAGAGAAAGAAAGAGACAAAGAGAGAGAGAGAGAGAGAGAGAGAGAGAGTACAGAGTTGATGAAATAGGTCAGCACTGTTTTCAGGAGAAAAAAAATTCAACTAAGACTCCATTAATCAGGAATTCAACAACTACACCGCTGAAAATTTTATAGCCACCTTTATTAACAAAGAAGAACTTTATGAATTAGATAAAACCACGGCCTACTTGTAACTGCTAGATTCTTACAAATGTTTAACATTTCATGATGTCCCACCCCCAGGAATAATCAGCACTACGATTTATATACAATCTAAAACCTGAACCAAAACTTCCTCTAGCTTTATGCTTATATACTTCTGCTTTGCTCACAAGAATATCGTTGTCAAGATCAATGTTAGCAGGGAATCTACAATCTCAAGAATACTTAATCAGTCTTTGTGTTTCTTTTTTCGTTTATGGTCGAGGAAAACGAGTTCCGAGTCCATATCCAGAACATGTTGAAAAAGCCCCCATCCATTCTTCTGACGCATGCATCCGAATCCTCTCAAGTTGTGTTGGCCAATCTACCCCTAGGATCGGAGGATCTAAGTCCAATGCAACTTGCAAATCTAAACTGGACACACTTGGCTTTTGTACATATGTCACAGGTATCGAACCAGGCACCGAGGAACCGAGTCGGTTTATATGTTTGTGCCCTGACCTTGAACCAGCTAACTTCAAACAGGGCCTAATTAATCTCTTCACGAAAATATCAAGGGCATTATTCAGTAAATTGGCAGAGTCAGCTGAAACTTGCAATCCCTGCATTTGTAATTCCTGCTCCAACCGCTTCATTAAGGAACTGGTATCAGGTAGCTCACCACTTTGGTAACATGTCTCAGTACATTGACTAGAGAATAATCTATTACGCAGTACTTTCCGTTCCTCCTTTGTCTTCAAGCTGATGCCAAGAGGAGCTCTAAGAGGGCTTCTACTATAAATGCCAGGGCTTCCAGTAGACTGATCAACCTCTTCTCCGTCTTCTACAGAGAATGGGTGTCTGCTAGCCAAAGAAATCAACTCATTAGCACCCTGATGTTCTTGAATCTTAGTTAATACATCTTCACATGCAGCACTATGGCCCTTCCCATAAGGCCCTAAAGGGCTTGGGCGGTCCTTGAATTTGCGATCACGAAGATTGGGGGTCCTTCCTCTACGAGGAGATTGAGGAAAATCCTTGCACAGGGACTGAAGACTACTTCTACTTCTTTGATACCCATTTGCCACTTTGACACTTGAACAACTTTCTATTTTGTTCAACTTTGACGGAGGAATCTTTGACAGTGATGCGTTTTTTATAATTGCTCTGAGGAGATAGTTATGAAGCCGAATATTTTCTCTCCCAATGGTGGCAATACATAGTTTATCAAACTCTGTTTTACTCATCTTTAGGTTTAAAAATCTTGCGAGGATATTGAAATACTTCTCCACTCTAGCATGGCCAAGCTTCCTTTCCAACTGAGATTTTAGCTCTGAAGTGTCTACTGGAGAAAAATGCTGACCCCCTTGCATTTCAGTTTCTAAATTCCTCGCCATCATCAAACCCAAAATTTCAGCCTACTACTCAAGAACCCATTAGTACGCAAATAACATTCTCGCCAATAGTCTGTTGAAAAAACAAAAAGAAAAAACCAAAAACCAAACCCTAGCATCATCAATCTTTACTATCAAAGTCAATTTCAGCGAAGAAAGTCAACACTCGAATCAGATATAACTTGCATACTAAAATTCAAACCAAAATAAGCAATACCCAGATAGAAAAAGATCCAAATAAGATTGTAACTTCGTTTCGCTCATTAATCCTTCAATTCCACGAACCCAATAACTAAAATCAAAAGATAGAAAATCCACCAAATTCCAATCCCCAATTTCTATTGCATTGAACCCCAGTACAAAGAAACAATTGAATCTTCAAATTCTAAATCTAACAAAAACACAACAATCGCATTTGCCCAGAAGTAGAAACCCACCAAATAAAATGCGCGGACATTCGAAGCAAGAAAATATAGACCAGAAAAAAAATTAGAAAAAACAAAAAAAAAAATGAATAGTAAAATACTAACCCTGAAACTGTCGCTGTTGAATATTCCGTTAGATTCAATGAATTCACTGCAACGACCTTCGATCACTGAGTTACTAGAGAGAGAAAGTAGAGGGAGAGAGAGATTAGGGCTAGCAGGCAAGGAGGCTTTTTAGAAGCTTCGGTCGAGTCATCGGAGTCAAAGGAGCACGTGCAGTTTTTAGCAGAGCGTAAGCTGCTTAGTTATAAACCAACCAGCCAATCATGTTTTCTTTTTTATACGGATCTTGACTTGAGGTCACACCATAAAAACACCGCCCACCAAAAATTTTGTACCCAAATTTCCTGTTTTAGGAAATAATATGACACAATTCTTGCTCGCTCGCTAAGGTTGACTTTCAAACTGATTACATTCCACCGGGTCGGGTCGGATTGGGTCATATCAGAACTTTTACAATTTTGGAAAGTGTTTTTTATTTCGTTCGTTTAGGAATTGACGTTGTTATTGTTTTTCTAATGTTTCAATTTGTGGGTTTCGGTGTTTGTAACACCTACATGTACATTTAACATTCCTCAAAATTAAAATAAATAATTTATTACTTAACTAAGTATGTAACCATATTAAATACAAAATGAGGATGCATTTTCTAATTTTTCATGTAAATGCACAATTTTTTTATAAAAAATAAGTGAACTTTATTTGTATTTTATTTAAATATTGATATTTTATTTATTTATAATATTATAAAAATTATTCGAGATCATAATAATATAATGTACGTGTAGAAAATATTCGAGATAATAATAATAATATTTGAATTTATCATTTTAAATCCATTTCAATTTTTATTTTTTAAAATAAAAAATCCAGTTACATAAAATAGCAAGATAATACATTACATGATTCCAATAAATTTTTTAGTGGAAACAATATTCTTACTTTAAATAAATTTTATGTACAATTTAAGTTAATTTTTCTATAATTCATTCATTAATAAGTAAAAATATAAATTGACAATTAAAAAATCAAATAATCAATGGAGTTGTTTTAATAAAAAAAAAAATCAAAATGACTTGCTTTAACGTCATATTCTCTTTATACAGTAATCTCTATATAAATAACGAGCACTAATAAATAATTTAATCAGTATAATTTCGAAATTATTATCAGGGAACATCTTAATCTACTAATATTTTATTCTACCATGCTTATAGGTGGTGTAAGGGGGTCACAATTTATTATCTTATAGTTGTTGGGTCTCATTTTCAACTTTTGTCTTATATTTCAAATATTGTGACATTTTGGATATATCATCCCATATCATAGTTTTGTACTTCTTATTTTATTATCTATATTATATGTTATTATTTATATTATATGATAAACTGATACATATTACATTTCTATTAAATAAAATATTTATTACTTTTCAAAAAAAATAACCATGAAAAAAAAATTTATTCACTATCTACAATGAACTCTTTTTGTCTTGCTATGATAATTTTTCAAACGATATGCTCTAAATATAAATGTAAGAGTCTTCAGTGATCACATACCGATTCGAAAATGTCTAATTTGATTGTATTATTATGTTTCGTGCATAAACTTTGTGAAACATAGACAATATATATTTTAGTTAAATTATTATTTACAAAAATTAATATAAATTTATAAATAAATTATATAAAAAATTTATATTTATTTCCTACTGTCTTAATATAAAAAAATAAAAAGAAAGGAAATTTTTTTATTTAAATAATATATTATATCTAAAATATATAGAAGATTTTAAGCTTTTAAAAGGTTAGTGAGATATAAGTAGTGTTAACAATGCAAAAAGCTTAAATTGTACTTTCCGTGGCACGAGTAGCATGTGGGCATACGCGTTAACTCTTAAATTGTACTTCCTATGCCACGAGTAGTCGTCAGTGCTTTGGAAATTACAGTTTATAAAGCAGCATGCTTATTTAACATATAATTAATTATATAATTTATAATTAAAATTTGTATAATTTTTTAAAGCTTTTGTAAATTTTTCTTAACATATGCTTAATATTTTTAGCTAGGATAATCTATCATATTCTACTGAAACCAAAAAATATATATATATATATATATTCCACTTGACTAACAATTGTAAAGAGTGATCAAAATTAAGTTCAAATGTTAAGTTGCTACATATAATTAGTCAAGAATACATACCTTAATTAGATAAATTACTTGAATTTTAGTATTACTTTAATATTCATCTTATATATTAAAGATTAAAACGTAAACTAATCCCCTAATTAATTGAAAAAGAAATTAACCCAAAATTAAAACAAAAATCAATTTTTTTTTTTAATTTTTGAATAAATTTATACATTTATTAAATAAATAATCTACATATATCAATTATTGTATAATATTATAAATAAATTTTAAACCAAAATATAAACAAAATTAGAATACAATTCAAATTCACACCCATTTGTAAAAGAAGAGAATAGTAAACATTTAGTTAATTAATGATTAGTCTTTTTATGCCAATTGAAAGAAATTAAATTAAGTTGTATATGTCCCAATTAATTAGTACTAATTAAAATCAATGAAATATTAAATAGTCTAAACGATAAGAAATTCGCGAGAACTAAAAAAAAAAAAAAAGAGATTAATTAGATTTTAAAAATTAATAACTAGTTATAAGAGATTGAAATTAATTAAAACTAATTAATCAGGTAGGAACCCAAACAGTAGCAAATACAACATTGTGTCCTTTCCATGTGAGCACAAGATCGTCCTCTTCCCTCTTCAATCCCCACCCAGCTGCATGCTCGTCAAGCATGGTTTTCACCTCCGACACCGCCTCTTCCCCGAACCCAAGCCCTCTAAAACTTGCATTTCTCATTCTCTGCACCCACCGGCTCTTAGGTTCCACCCTCTCCACCCTCTGCAAACCCTCGTGCGCGATCACATTCTCAATCTTCCAGCATATATCAGCTTCGTACCATTGCCTGTGTTTACTGCCGCGAGGAAGAAACGTGTCAATGGTGTCGTATGGAATCCACATATAGTTGAAAGCGGACCTTAGTCTGCACACGAGGTTATTTGATGTGAAATCTGCGTCTTCATCGACGACGACGACGACTGTGGGGTCTAACCCTCGGAGTTCTTTCAGAAAAATTGTTCGCAGTGATGTTGCAGTAGTTGGGTTCGTGGTGTTGGGACTGATCAATGGAGAAAGAGTTTCTTCTGCTATGTAGTGAAGCATCATATGGCAGTTTATAACCAAAGCCTCGTTGCTTTCTGGGTATAACAAATGTTGCACTCTGAGTTGCTCGATCAGAGCTGAGTAGCCGTCTGTGTAACTCGACGGAATGGCTCGGAACTCCAGCATTATGTTGCGGGACCTTGCGAAGTTAACCAATTTTGACCCTAATTCTTCGTAGGAGAGGTCAAGCATAGGCGGCGGAACATCCTCTATCCCACCCGCGACGGTGAGCTTCACCAATGGCGGACCCTCTAGCCGATTGGCAATGGCGTCGAGCAAAGTAGGGATTTGCATGCAATGTGTCAAGCTCAAATCGACAATGTGAATAGCGGCGTACCCTTCAACGGCGTCAAGAATTGCCGCATTGGCTGCGGTGAAGCCGAATCGATGCCACGGGGTTAAGTCGACGAAGCTAGCAAGCTCGATGACGGAGAATTTGTGGGTGTCAGTGGCGAGGTTACAGCTGTGCGCGTTGGCCATGGCGGCTGCCAGCATGGTGCAGGATCCAGTCTTGGCGGCGCGGGCGATAAGTGCTCGGAGAAATGCGCACGTGAGGCGCTGGTTGGAGTCACCGTCCGGCGGTGCAATGTTGTTGAGTACCCAGAGGATTTGCTGTGCGAGAGTGGCGTCGTTGGAATCGATGGCGTTGGCACAGTGAACCAGGAGCTGCTCCATGCAGTTGGCGTCACCAAAATTGCCAAAAGCTTTGGAAGTTGGAAAACCCGGCCATGGCCGAGTCCGGTGGAGCTGGTTCTTGTTCATGGTTAGTAAGTTTGATAAGTGAGTGATTTGGTGCAAGGGTGGTGGTGGGGTTTCAGAGAATTGCATCATGGAGAAGACACGCACAGAGATCAGAGAGAACAAATTTGAGAGAACCTACAAAAGAGAATAAAACGAAAAGATAAAAGAAAAGAAATCAGGAAAGCAGAACGAGAGAAAGAGACCAGACTAACAGTGGGTACCTAGCCATTGGGAAACGATCCGTGAAAGATCAAAAAATTGTTTCTTTACTTTTTTTTTTTTTCTGGGGAAAATTAGAATTAGTTCTGCAAAATGAATTAATGATTAAAAATGGTATAAAAACTGGAAAAATCGAAAGAGACAGTTCAGCTTTTTGACTGAGGATTTCCTTTACTCTGCTCCACACGAGAGAAGGAGAAGATCAAAAAGGACCCATCAGGAGTAAACTCTCATCCCATGAAGAAAATAACTTAGTTTGAGTCATTCGGGAAAA